TTGTATAAACAGTGAACGATCTAGTTCAGAAAGAAAATATAACACACTTATCCTGGATCAATGCTGGAAAGCTTCAAAGAAGAACAAGGTACGCACCTGGGTGGCTCAGTGGTTTAAGCGTCTGCATTTGGCTCAGGTCATGATCCCAGGATCCTGGGATCGAACCCCGGATCAGGGTCCCTGCTCTGTAGGGAGCCTGCTTCTCCTTCTCCCTCTCCCTCTGCATGCCACTCCCCCTGTTTGTGCTTGCTCGCTCTCTCTCTGTCAAATAAATGAATAAGATCTTAAAAAAAGAAGGAGGAGGTAATATATAAGATATATATATATATTTGAGATGTGTGTGTGCTGATTGTAAGCACTTAGATGAAAATGACTCTCCCCTAGTCAATCTCATATGTGGTCCTGCAATAATAAGCATCAAAATGTCCTGTGGAATTGATGATGGCGATGATTTTCTTAGCCTCAATCGTTTATTGAGTATTGAGCACTCTGCTGGATGCTTTCTCACACATTATTTCCAACCCTTCCAGCAAGGCTGAAGGTTGATATCATTCCTCTTTTACAGATGGGCAAACTGAGCCTCAGAGAAATGAAGCCATGGCCCGGGGATACACTGATGGGAAGACACAGAGCCAGGACATCTGTCTAACTGTAGCCCACCCCCCGCCCAAGCCTGCTATTGGTGCCTCGTGGACACATTTCAGAATGGACAGCTTTCAGAGTTGAAAGTCTTCTCTGAGAGTTTATTGTCTCAACTTGTAGCCTCAAAGAAATACATCTGTGCCAAAAGGGGAAGTCTAACAGTCAGCTGCAGTCTTTTGACGTTTTTTGAGGTTCATGGCGAAGGCACTGCCCCACGGAAGAGTTGTCTAGAATTTCCCTTTCAGTTGTGTGCTTGTACCAACAAAAACTGGAAACTACTTCAAAGGTTTGATCCTTGTTCTGGAAACTCTCATGCAGGTTTCCAAGTTCTGCTGACTTCACTTGGCAACACAGGGCTAGGGTCCTTGGAGTAAGAGCCTCCTTACTGCAATGACAGGCATTGTCCTGCATCTGAAGAAGCTTGGATGCGGGGAAGGGAGTCTGGGTGTATAACACATCTTTGTCAGCATGGGCTAGAAGCAGAGTGTCTGCCCTTGTAGGCCGCTCCAAAGAGTCTCTTCATCTGTTTTCCCAGCTGACAAAAACAGGTGAACAGTGAACGGTGATGGAGGAGAAATGAGAAATGGGAATTTCGGTGAGATCCCTGCCCTGACTGTGATGTCAGGAGGTATTTTAGGAGAACATGGCATTCGTCCTCCAACTGACTGTGTCCTCCCATGGCTATGTCATCAAGAAGAGGCTTTAAATGAGCAATTCTTAATACTTTTGAGGTCATGGACTCCTTTGAGAATTTGCTGAAAGTTATGAATGCTCTCTCTTCCCCCAATAAATACACACACACTGCACACATACATAGAGATGTTGCAGACACTTTTAACTGGCTCCCCTACCTTCCAATGTCCATACCCAGGGGAGCCTGGGTGGCCTAGTCGTTAAGCGTCTGCCTTCGGCTCAGGTCATGGTCCCGGGGTCCTGGGATCGAGCCCCGCATCGGGCTCCCTGCTCCGTGGGAAGCCTGCTTCTCCCTCTCTCACTCCCTCTGCTTGTGTTCCCTCTCTCGCTGTGTCTCTCTGTCAAATAAATAAATAAAATCTTTAAAAAAAAAATGTCCGTACCCAGTTCAGTGGATTAGGAAAAATTGTGGAGACACATTGGGCTTGATGGGGAAAAAAAAAAGCCCTGTTTGACTAGTGATGTTTTCCCTAATAGCATGAGAAATGGGGAGTGGCATGTGGACTTTGAATCTACCATTCCCAATTTTTAAATCCTCCTTGTTCTAAGTAATTTATTTTTACCTATGTTATTTTTTCATTGTCTGTCCCCGCCCAGAACATAATTTCCACAAGAGAGCAGAGAGTTTGTCCGTTGTCTACTGCTGTTTCACTGGGGCCTAGGACGGTAGCTGGAAAAATAATGGTGCTCCACAAATGTTACTGAGAGAAGAAATGTGTCCCCCCCTTACAAGTACTGAGCTACAAAATTTACTCTCTTCCATGTTGGTTAATATTTGCTTCGATTTATAATACAGCCAGTTGCTTTCAAGGGCTACCTTCTATCTACATCATTTTGAAATTTGCAGACTAAGTCTGTATTTGCTGTTCAGAACTTTTGCTAATCATAATTATATACTGTTTTCCTTTTTATATTTTCCTCGATTAATCTCTTTTCTCCCACCAAATAACCATCATCTCGACTGCTTCAGTTCCAGTGACTAAAGACAAGATGTATTTGGTGGCATCAGTTTACAAAAAAGGGAACAAGATGCAGCACGTTTAAATGACAGCAAAATAAATGTCAGTTTCTCCAAGTATATTTGCTTAAGTAGTCAGCTCTACACATATTGAAACAATGTAAATGCTGAATATTGAAATGTTCGTATAAATAAGCATTTTTTATCGACAGCAGCTATGGAAGTGTATGGAACAATGTGGCTTGACTGCTTAAAAACTGTTCCCTTAAAGGGTTTAAATATGGCATCTGCCACTTGTTCGCATTTAAATTACTTCACAAACCATTTCCTTAAATATGGGAAGAAGTCCGCTTTCGTACTTGTTAAATCGCCACAAACTCTGAGTTACAAGACTATGAATTAACGACATTGCACGCTATTTTATAGTCCTCATTCCTAGGTTTAATCGAAAGCAGTGCTTCACTTTTTTTTTAATTAAAACAATCAGCGAAAACTACAAGTGACATTTGATTGTGCTGCGGTGCAAAGCTACGGTTTGAAATTATAACCAACAAAACTCCAAAAACCCGTTTGAGGGCACACCTTCTAAGTTTAGGGCCAAGTATATGCAGTTAACATTTATAATTCCTTAGCTCTCTGCATTCGCGGCCAGCAAACTTTCAAGGTATCTGGCAGATAAGAAAGATGGCAGAAACCCCATAGGAGCAGAAGTCAGTGATACGAAGTAAAGCTGATGCAAATTTATTGCTACTGGTTTTCAGTTCCTTGCCTCAGTAAGCTTATGCACTGCAAGGACTTGATTTTTTAGACACACCCACACAGTGATCCATTACACTCAAAGGCTATGGCCTCGAGGCCCTTGCACGAACCCTCGTGCACATCCGTGTTCACACTCACACGGGCGGTCATGCTCCCACCTGTGCCATTAATTGATAAGAACACTGTTCAGTTGACTGATCAAGAGATATGCAGCGCAAAGGAACAGGATTTGAGACAGCCCAGGGTTTCCTCTTCTAGTAGGTTTAAAACATTTTTTTTTCCTCACTAACTTCCTTCCTGTTCTAACTGCCAGTACTCAGAAGTCAGAGTGAGAGACAGAGGCACCCCAGAGAGCCGTGAGCCACTGAATGTAAGTTGAAATGCCTCCGGGTGGGGGAGGCTGTAGGTGGGCACAGGAAAATGTAGGCGATATCTCAACTAGGCGAGGACCCTCTCCAGTTTTTTTGTTTTTTTTTTTAGATTATCTTTGAAACAGATAAGAAAGTACTAAGGAGGCAGTAGGAACCGTTTGCAGAGAAGGGGAAGTCAGAGCAGGGAATCTTGGCAATGACTCAGGGGAGAGAGCTCAGGGAGGGAGGGGGGGGGTGTGCCGGGCAGTCCATGAGATCCTGAGTGTCTGGGAAAAGGGCTATGAGTGTAACTCCTGGGGAGTGCCCAGAGGGGTTTCCTACAAGGTGGGGGTGGGCATCCAGCCAAGGTGAGAAGCAAAAAGCCTGTGGAGCCAAACTGGTGTGAAACATGCTAGTAGATGAGGGGTTGCTGAGGGGGTGGAGATATGTGGTTTCCTGTTTTTAAGTAGATGTAAAGAGACTGATTGAAAAGAAAAAAGATAAAGATTCAAAGCTGTCAAACATTAAACTGTTTTCCCCTAAAGAATTTTTCTGGTGGTATAAGAGAAATGCATAATGAAAACCTCTATGGGATTTAACCATGTGCTACGGGATTTAACCATCAAGGGGGAGGTGTGGTAGAACACATTGTTATTTACTCATCGGTCACAGAGGGATCGATTTTTGCCACTAGCAAAGACCACTTATTAAATTCCTGCAGTCAGGAATGCCCGGGTGGCTCAGTCAGTTAAGTGTCTGCCTTCGGCTCAGGTCATGATCTCAGATCCCTGGGATCGAGTCTCACATCGGGCTCCTTGCTCAGTGGGGAGTCTGCTTCTCCCTCTGCCTGCTGATCTCCCTGCTTGTGCTCTCTCTCTCTCTCTCTCTGTCTCTCTTTCTCTGAAAAATAAATAAAAATCTTAAGTATATGCATACATGCATATATATATATATATATATATATATATATATATATATAAATTCCTGCATTCAGATGGGCAGAAAGATCATTGCTGTTGTTGCTTAAAAAAATAGCTCTTTACATCTGAGAGGACTAAAAGCAAACAATGAGGGCACGAAATAATTTATTAAGAGATAGGTTCTACAAAAATCCAATTAGCCCCTGCTAGGATACCTGCCTTGCGAGCCTTCAAAATGCCAAGGACTAAATTTGGCGACCCTTAGAAGTGCTTTAGGCATGATCTGAAATGCTTCCCTTTAGAGGATGCCCCAGTCAGCATGTGTTATAAACCTAGTCTGTTATTAAACTCTAGACTTAGGGTTACTTGTGGCCTGGGTCTGATCAAGCCCTGGCTGTTCTTCCATGCAAGGTCCAGGAAGGCAGACTGCTCTCCCTGAGAGCCCCTTCCCATAGTCACCCCTTCACATGGAGAGCCACTGAAATCAGGATTAGCCTCTTGGAGCCTCCCTGCAGGAATGATCAAGCAAGGGAAAGCGAGAGGTCTGTGCTTGCCCAGGAGGTTTGGCCACAGGGAGGCATCACAGATATTTGCCATTGCTTTGTTTTGTTAAGTGTACAAGAAAACATCCCTCCCAAATCCAGATAGGAGGCAAGCATAGTAATAAGATCATCTTACTCTTTTGTGAGATGTGCAGAGTTCTGAGAGAAGAGTTCCTTCTCCATTCAGGATGCACAGTGTGGAATGACTGTGTTACAGCTGAACCAAAGCTGACGGGCATGTTCCAGGGACTGGGATTTAGTCCTTCCTTGCTTGGGAGAGCATGAATTTGTCCCTAGGGAAGTAGACTGGGAGCAACACTGAGGTTCTGTTGTTAGTGGAAGCTCAGCACAGCGAAGCCATTGTGACGGGAAGATTGGCCTGGGCCAATTTATGGGAGCAAAATATAGTACAAATTTCTATTAGCAGGAAGAGAGAAGCCCCAGGGACTAGAAACGAAGCCGATAGGGAGAGAGAACCAACATCTGTTGAGTGCCTTCTATAGGTGAAGCCTGGTGGTAGAAACTTTCAGTCACCAAAAAAAAAAAAAAAAAAAAAAAAAAAAAAGAACCAGCAGCTACAATGCCTTAGAAGGACATTTTAGGAAATGTCCCGTGGGGGAAATTTTCTCTAATCCCACAATCTGGGTGTCCTTATTTGTAGGCAGTGTTATGCTGTCCGAGGCCCTGGATGAAAGTCCACACTGGCATACCCAGGGACGGCTCTCGCATTGTTCCTGCAACTTCAATGTTTATCACTTCGGTGGGCACTTCCCAAATCGCTCTGGGCCATGTCACACTCTGGTGTCCACCGCCAGAGCTAGTACAAAGGCACCTGAGCTTTCTTAAAGGGGCTGATAATCTCAGCACCCATGGTTACAGATCGTGTCTCTGCTTCTTTTCGTGCTGAATTTAAAACTTCTGTGACTGTATCAAGTTATGGCAGTCTAGTGTTTTGCTTAATAATGGCTTCCTTGATGCAGTTTTCATCGAGGATTATTTAAAATAAATATTTACGGAAATACCAAGTGTGGTAACTTCACAGGGCAGACAGCAGACATGAATGGCCCCACTGAGTTCTCTCTCCTTTTGCCTAGGAATCTGAGTTAGAAGAGTATACTGTGACTACGCAGGGGAGAAAGAATGTATGGTTTCTCTCACCCAGGCAAGTGTTAAAGAATTCTGCTTCTGGGCATCTGATCTTTCTCTGGACTGGTTTTAATATTTATTGTATTTAACAAGACACTGTCCTCTCAGGCGCTGAGTTGATTCTCCTCACCCAGCTTTGCAATTTCAGATGTTCTTCACAGAGCTAAGATGGTGGAGAGCTGCCCTGAGGAGCCCGGGAGGCACCAATCCCTCCATGTTGCTAAGGAACCCTGAGAAACCACAGAGCCAAGACAGCTTCTGGTGTCCCGAGGGATCAACTCGGATTCCCCAAATAAGCCCAGTCACCAGGCAGGCAGCAAAGCAGACCCAAATCCTTGACTGGTTCTGACATGTCGGCCGTCCTTCAGGGATGACCCAATTCTCCCCGTATCCTGGTCAGCAGGGAGAGGACATTACAGGGTGACGGAGAAAACTAATGCTTGCATCAACTTCTCTGACGGAAATCCCCCTGCTTCTGGCACTTCCGTATTTCTCTGTCCCTCTGTCATCTCCACCTCTTCTATCTCATATTCATGACCTGTGCATCTAGAGGCATGATCTGGCAACCTTCGAACAGGAGTTTAGTCTCCACAGTATTTTGCTCCAGAGCCAAAGGAAATTCTCTCCACTGGTTGTGCCTGTTGTCTTTTGTCATTTCTCATCATTTGCAGAGTGAACTCTGGCTTCAATGAGGAAAGGGAGCAATAAATAGAATCTAAAATTAAATTGTTCGTGAGGAAGCTTTTTAAAGAAATATAATAGTGACGTTCCCATTTTAAGCTTGATTCAGTTAATAAACAGTTCTCGCAATTCCGAGAACTTCTTGTGTCTTCCGTGCTCCTCAAAGAAACAAAATCTATTTTTAAGATGGAAGGAGTGGACATTGTCAACACTGCAGAGACGAGGGAAAGCATTTGGTGCCTAAGCAGCCAGCTACCTCACTTCACAGAGGCTGTGCCACACAACAGACAGCCCCGCAGGGCAGGGTTCGGAGGAAGAGAACGGGTAGTTTATTGAACATCTACTATTGGACAGGATCGTCTGAGAGCTTTTCATGTGTTTTCTCCAACTCTTCAACCCCATAAAGGAAGAGCATTATTTCCACACTACTGGTGGAAAATCAGGCGGAGCGAGGCTGATCATTTGCTTAGTTAGGTCCTGCAATAAGGCAACGAAGAACCACATTTTGAATCTCTGGCCCACTGGACTCAAAGTCCAGGTCCTGGTAGGCCTTAAAGGTCACCTTTCTTTGAATTAACCAGGTGATCTGTTTCATCTGAACTCAAAAGTTTCACCTTCCCTTGCCCCCCACTGCTTTGGAACTGCATCAATGAACCAGACAAGGATGCTCTGTCCTGAGATTGGTGCAAATGCTTAAGTGTATTTCACTTTCAGTATCTTGGACAATTCACTGGATTTGCAAGCAAAACCACCAATTTGTGCTATGGCAGTCACACCATGAGTAACCGTCCTAATTTCATGTGGCATTTTAACTGAGCCTGAGAGGATTAAGTTTCTATCTCAGCACGCCCCAAGCTTAACACTGCTTTGCTGCATAGCAAACATGAGGGTGTGAGGGGCTCACTGTGAAAATTCACCTGTGGAAGCATCTGTGAAGCAGAAGATAAAGATAATGAGCAGTAAGCACACGCACGCACACACACACAAAACCAGTATGTGCTTTGGGCCTGATGGGGTGCACACTAACCTTGTTAAACATGTAATTCTTCATTCTCCATTTCACTTTTACCGTGTAAAAAACCAACGTCAAAACGACCTCCAAGCAAATGAAACAACTCTGCTTTTTGTGGAACAGTGGGGGAGTTGCAGAGGAAGGTGAGAAAAGGCCAACCAGAATGTTCTACACAGCTGGCCTGGGTCTCCCCCAACCCCACCTCCACTTCCTCTTTTCTTGTTTCAGAGCCTTCTTTAAATTAAGGAGCGTTCGAGTCATTGAATTAGGAAGAGGCCTCAGAGGTCCTTCTAAGGCAATGATTTCATTTTGCCGAGGACAAAACTGGAGCGCAGAAAGGGTCAGGGACTTGTGCAAGGGGACACGCAGCAGAGTGGCCCTGAAACCCTCTTTATGTGACGCTTCCCTGCCTCGCTAAAGCTGGCAGAGTTTTGCAAAACAGAACATTTCCCGCTGCCTGTGCACCCTCCGGATAGATTCCCAAGATAACTAATGGGTTCTATAATTTCATTTTTACTTCTTACTAAAGACAGCTAGAGCAACAGAGCATAGTGCCTGTGAGCCAGACGAGCTGGCCCAGACAGTAATTCTGCCCCTTACACAATAGGTCCTCTTCGGCAAGCTACTTGTCTGAGCTTCAGTTTCCTAACCTATAGAAGAGACTGATGACCATGCCCGCCCCTAGGCTGTAGTGAGGACTGATGAGCTAATCCTCGCAACAGCATTTAGCATTATGTATGGTAACTATTATAATTATCATCATCAATAATAAAGCCAGTTGTTCTTTAGATGATACTCAAAGGTAGTCTGTAGAATTTCCATAAAATGCCAGTTCTCCCTTTTGCAGGCATATCCCACTGTAAAATGGGGGGATAAAGAGAGAACTAACAAGGTGTGGTTAAATATGCACACACATAGAGTTTGGGAAAGCATTATCAAACTCTATAAGCCATGATGGCTGAGGCTTTGGCAGAATCTGAGGTTCCCGAGAGGTGAACTGTGAAATTAAAAAGGCTGTTTCTTTGGGGACTTCAAACAAATTTGAGATAATAAAACAGAGATTGGATACGTCTCTTCTGTACACAAGTGAAATAAGGTAATCGAATACCTGTAACTCAGCTGACGCATGACCGCAGGGCAAGACAAATCTACAGATGGAGAACTTAGAAAGGGAAAGCACCTAGAGGTGGTCTGCTCCAACCCCCCAAACCTCAAGAGAAGGAGAATAAGATCCACAGTGGGTGAACCATTTGCTAAGGGCGTGACAGCTGATTAGTCTCAGATTTATTAATAAGAACATCAAGATCGAGATGACTGAGAAATTGACTCGCCAATGATCACACAGATGTTATTGAATCCTGTCCTAGATCATGTCTTTGTCTTTTTCTCTCCCCTGCTCTCTCTCTCTCTCATTCTCCTTTCAAAATTGAGATCTCAGGGTACAGAATAACAATTCCCTGCAGGTTATGGAAATCACCTTGAGCTAGGTAGTGGGTAGGTGTGGTGTTATCTTCTGATGGTCAGACTTCAAGCAGATGACTTGTTAGAACCAAGCGATATATCCCAGAGAGTCCTGTCCAAGAGGGCCAAGACATTCTCACCTGTAGATAGGCTTCCTGATGATCTGTCCACATGTATGGTTTTGGGTTTTTTTTTTTTAAGATTTTATTTATTTATTTGAGAGAGAGAAAGAGTGGGAGGAGGAACAGAGGAGGAGGGAGAAAGACAAGGAGACGGAGACTCTGCACTGAGCTTGGAGCCGGATGCAGGGCTCGATCCCAGGACTCTGAGATCATGACCTGAGCCAAAACCAAGAATCAGACACTTAACTGACCGAGTCACCCAGGCACACCGGTTCCTGGGTGTCACCAGAGGAGAACCTCTCTCTTCTAATCTCATCTGGGTTGCTCCTCATCTGCCCCTTAATGATTGTCCTCAAGCTACCCACAACCTACAATCTCCACCCACTGCATCCTTCATTATTTTTCCAACCAGTTCATTCACTTTTCCTGAGTGTTGTTTGGAATATGAGTTGAGCTGGTCATGATATTTATTATGCTGTCTCGAGAGGCTCAGCAATGAGTGGTGCTGCATCTTCAGCTGAGGCAAGAGTTGCCATAGGAACAAGCCTGCATGCTTCCTTCCTGCACAGGAAGTGGACCTGGGCATTGCAATGCTGTTTGCAGACTTGATCAAGCTCATGGTGTTTGGCTTCTTATTTTGTTAGAAGAGGATCAATGAGCCAAGGGATATCATTTCTTTTTATTCTGTTTTTTTTCCTTCTTTTTCTGTTAAAGTTGTTTTTGTTTGGCTTCCCTTCCAAATGATTTTCCTTTCTGATGCCAGTGATGGAGACACTGAAACTCAAAACCACGGCTGATTTTGGCCAGAGATAGCTTCACGCCATGGGGGACTTGACAGAGCTTTGCAGACTCACTCAGGATGAGATGTGCTAGATATTGTCTAGAGTTGTGCCACCTAGGAACAATGTAGTCTTTAACCACCGGCAGGGAGGACACGCTCGGGGGAGAATTGTAGGAAATCAGGAAATTATCTCCTTGCCCAAATACCTCCCATATGTCCCCAAATAGCTCCATTGCTGCCAGCCACGGGCCTGAAATTCTTCCAGTAGAGACTTCTTCCTATTTATTAAAGGACACTGAAGTTCATCCAGCTATGGAAATTTGGGCATTTCTCTTAACCTCTGAGTTTCAATTTTCTCAATGATTACGTGACAGATTGGAATATCTCACCTCTAGGGTTCCTTTCTGCTCTGAAAATCTCTGACTATACACGGCCTAAAACGAATAATTTTTTAAAGTTATTATTCAGTCACTAACAATTAAGTGCGGATCATTTTATTAGAATCTCCCCTCCATATTTTAACACATAGCAAGTAAATGTAGTTGATGAGGGAAGAAGACAGACTCCCAGGTATGCCGAGGTGAGGCCTTAGAGAATAACGTCACTAGTCATCTGGCAAGAGGAGGAAGATACTAAAAGGGAATGGGATCCAGAAAAGGGAGATCAATGGAAGGTAAAGGTAAAATAAAGACATGCTAATCCTTCCCATTTTGTCTGGAGGAATTTAAAGAGTCTTTTGTTATTTTATGTCATTTCAAAAGAACAGAAGATCTTTAGATACAGAGCCAAATAAGTCAAACCAGGGGGGTTTATAAAATGCCTAAACTATTCAATTATCATGGGAGATTCAAGAGAAGCACAGAACCTGGTACTTGCTGCCCTCAGGCAGTTATTAGCAGTGCTAGATGGGAGCCATTCAGACACCTCAGGCGGGTGTTACAATGTTGCACGGCTTACT